AGGTAAGCCCGTAGATATATCTAAAGATTAGAATGTTCATATAGGTTGTTTTTACGTTCATAAATGGTCATTTGGTTGAGTTTTGTGTTGGACATGTTTGAAGAACCAAGAATCATAAACCTTGAATTTGATGTTAAAAATATGTTTTAATGATTCTAAAATGATCTATGAACCTTGGAGAACATTTCTATATAATTTAATTGAAGTTTGGTAACTAAAATTGATATGTCCGAAAATGGACTGAAGGTAGAAGATGATGAACAGTAGCCGAAAATCGATTATATTCTTACTAAAAATCGATTAGAACTGTGTTCAGACGAGGTACCAAGAAATTAGATTTTAATCGATTAATTATGAAACAAAAATCGATTTTAGTTGTTTAATCGATTATTTTTAAATCAATAATCGATTTATTTGATTTAATGGATTAATTTAGAAGCAAAAATCGATTTTTATGATTAATGGATTATTTAAATTTAAATAATCGATTTTTCCTCAATCAGTTCAATTCCTGTTCCGAAAATATTTCTGGAAATGTTGCTTAGAATCATATTTTTGGATACCAATTGTTTATGATCATTATAATGATTTTTATAGTAAAAATAATGTTTTGAACAAATAAAAATATTATGAGATGCATGACGGTAAGTTCGGGTGTTAACACTCGAGACTAGGCCATTAATTGTTATTAAATGTTATGTTGAATGATCATTATGATGAATTCTTATTATGGCTAATTATGAATGATAAACCTAATGATTAGAATTATTATTGATGATTAAATCATGATTAAAAATGAATATAATGGTGATCATGAAAACGGTGTATATTATTAAGGATATCTAGGAGGACTCTAAGATATACCCTCTTGTATGTTGATGATGAATATTAAGGATATCTAGAAGAACTCTAAGATATACTTCCTTGACCAATTCATAATTCGGGGTTAAAACATACGTACGGGATCCAGAACGGATATCACCCACCCGACAGTTCACTGTTCGGTTGGTACGTAATCCACATGACTCATAGGACGGATTATCGATTCTTGTGTTCTGCATTAAACTATTTATAGTTTAAGGGCCTGATTAGAAATGTTGCCTTAGACTAGGAATAGCTAAGAGCTTATTATAAAATGATGTGGCCTTAGATTAAGAATAATTTAAGAGCATGGTTAATATATATTAAATATCAAATGACTTGGAATAAGATATTGAGAATATTTTGAATGTTTGAACCATATATCGTGTGCATGATATCAAATGGTTGATTATGAATTGAGATTCAATTTATGTGGATGTTCGACGTTTCAGATATGCTTACTCAGCTTCACCGCTGAGCGTGTAGTGTGTTTTATTTGCTACACGCAGGTAAACAGAAAGATTAATGTGATCCTGGAGGCAGATGGGGCGAGATTGTCAGGATGGATGTGACAAGTTTTGAAATAATTTATGATATGTCAATATTAAATTCGCTTCCGCAATACTGTTAAATACTCCGTACTGTATATGTTATGAAAAATATTATTGGGATTAATAAAGTGAGTTTGAAAAGTTTTAAATTTTACGATTACCGAGTTAAATACTTTAGTCCGAATGGGGCTGCAGACCTGGACGGATTAGGGTGTTACAATTTGGTATCGGAGCAAATGGTTTTAAACACGATCTTCGTATCAATGTTTGATTTAAAAAAATATATATATTATATATTTTGGGTAAAAAAAAATTATTGTCAATCACATCCACGACTCTCGCATCCCTCTGCTCCAGGAAGGTAATTAAAAAAAAAAGAGTATTGAAATTGACTGTATCAAATTTTATAGATGTCAACTGTTAATTCAGAAATGATATCAAGTGTTGATTCAAGTCGCACTTTCGTACTTGGTAAAAGACGAAAGAACAAACGAAATGTCTATGACTCGTTGATACGTTACCAACGTGCACATCGATTCGCAAGAATAATGAAACGAAGGATTTATCTGCGCCGCAAGGCTGCATGGGAACGAGATGACCCAGAAGAGACGTTCAGCGTAGACTCTGCCTGTAGCATATGTGGGTCGGGCAAGGAAGACCCGTCTGTAGATTCGTCACGATCCAACCAATCG